AGACTGTTGGTTTCTTCCATCACAATGCGTAAAGATTATGGGCTGTATCATTGAATGGTATTTTATATAAATTATAGGCCTATTTTACCGAATGTTATTCAGTTTTGTGTTAAAAACATTATTTTCTAACTCATCTGTTTACTTGTAAAATATTATACAACAGTCTGACACACAAGTTTTTAAGTTCAATGCCAACAAGCAACCAACCCTCAGCAATATTCTTTCAGCTTCATCTGCTAAATGAGCTCCATTGACTCCTTCAGTGAAGCTGCTCCACAGCCGTTCATGAGAGTTTAAATGCTGGAGAATATTCCCATCTTCCCACAGCTGAAGAAGAAGCAAGCAGGAGGAATTACTCCAGGAGAAACTACTGACATACTGTTGGAAAGATGGAGTTTGAGGAAGACCCCTGCAGAATGAGAGATGAAGATACAGAGGAACAAACAGGTTGGTGTTCTCCTTCATTCTCTTTAATGACTGATGAGGAACATTAAGATGAAAACTGACATATAACAATACATTTAAAACTAAATACTAATAGACCCAATAGTAAACTATATTTGTGCCAAATTGAGGCTTTCTTTTTGTTTCTCATTTGTCTTTCTTTAATTGAATTTTGGGGATTTAATATTTTGATTTCAGACTCAGTGGAAGCGAATGAAGACAAACAGCATCAGTTTCAAAAACCTAATTTCATAAACGAAGATGGAAACACCACCGTTTTACAGACTGAAAAGAATTTCACACAAAAACAAACTCGCATAACTGGAGACAAAGGATCTTTCAGCTGCTCCGAGTGTGGAAAGAGTTTCTTGTGCAAAAGATACTTGACTGTGCACTTGAAAATTCACACTGGAGAGAGGCCTTATACATGCACTCAGTGTGGAAACGGTTACATACATAAATCACACCTTAAGATGCACATGAGATCTCACACTGGAGAAAGGCCTTATACATGCACTCAGTGTGGAAACGGTTTCGCACGTAAATCAAAACTTGAGATACACATGAGAATTCACACTGGAGAAAAACCCTTCACATGCACTCAGTGTGGAAAGGGTTTCACATCCAAAAGTGTTCTGAGAAAACATCAGCTCTCTCACGCTGGAGTGAAATCATTCAGCTGTGATCAGTGTGATAAAACATTTGCTTTTGCATCTAATTTGAGATCGCATCTTAAAGTTCACGCTGGTGTGAAGCCTCACTTTTGCTCTTTTTGTGGAAAAGAGTTTTTCAGTGCTAAAAACTTTAAAAGTTCACCAGACTATTCATACTGGAGTGAGATCTTATATGTGCTTTGACTGCGGGAAGAGCTTTGCTACATCCGGCGACTTAAAAAAACACCAGAGGATTCACACTGGAGAGAAACCGTACAAGTGCTCACACTGTGAGAAGAGTTTCGCTCAGTCATCAGCCTTGAAAACCCATGAGAGAGTTCACACTGGAGAAAAACCGTACCAGTGCTCTTCATGTGGGAGGTGTTTCACCTGGTCCTCTAATCTACTAAAACATAAGAAAAAGCATTGCCCAAAGTTGTCTAAGTGAGCAAAATTCATGTTCAGATCCATCACTTTCAAGTATATAATTTGATATTGAATGTGCTTTAATTTGCATGTATTCAAGGGGTTCATCAACTGTACAGAAGTAAATCGTTCTTTTAAACAGAACGTTTGTCTAAATGTTCAATAAACTTACAGAAAAAAAATATATTTCTGACTGGTAATTCATTATCAGGCTTTACAGGGTTAAAAGATTTTGTGTAGTGTTGACTCTTGATCCTCAGAATAACTTGCAGTATTTCAATATGAAGTTATGATAATAGATGGTCAGTACCACAGATTTTCCTCTAGATGACGCTGTTTGTTTTCATTTCAACCTCTAAATCTGCCTTTTATCAGACTGTGAGTACCTTTCTTGTTTATTTATTTGGATGAAATAAATCTGACAATTTATAAATCCACTGAGCTCGACTAGTGTCCGATTCACTAACTGGTTATTCATAAGAGTCGGTTTATTATGTCATGTGCGACGTGAAATGAACCAGTGTTGTTCATAGTAAAAACTTAAAACATGTAAAGATTGTGTTGAACAATAGGCTATTTAATGTGATTACTTAACATAAACAAATAGTGTAACACAACATGTACAACCGAGTTAAATAGTTAAATGCTCATATTTGCAAACTGTTCCTTTGTCTTTACTTCTCACACATTCACAGGTTTAATGGATGTCTGATTACAGAAATCAACCCTCATTAATAATTTTTCAGCTTCACTCGGAGCTGCTGTGAGAATTGAAGAATATTACATATACTATTACAGAATATTACATAAAATATTACATGTAATGAGGTGCTTAGTTGGAAGTGAATGGGGAGCAGACAGAATGGCTTTGAAGGCAATATACACGTGGGACTAATTAGATCAATATTAGATTCACATTGCTTAAAAAACTGGATAGGGTGCAATATCAGGCATTGAGGTTATGCACAGGAGGATTTAAAACGACCCCAACAGAGGCACTTCAGGTTGAAACGGGAGAAATGCCACTAGCAATGAGAGATAGAAGATACAAGGCCGCTAAGAGCAATCATTTGTTCAGATTCAAGCTCATTGTTAACCAGTTTACAGTGTTCAAACAGCAGACCAGATATTTGAATAAAGATGAGAGAAACACTATACAGAATTAAAGTGATGGGGCTTATGGTGTTTTTTATGGATTCCAGCACACAACGGAATTAAAGGAAGTGAAATGGCAGATAAAATAGCAAAGGACGTTACTAAAAGTAATCATATTGATTTCACAGTTAATATCAGCAAGGCAGAAATCTAGAGCATCATTAAAAAGAGATTGAGTGGTAAAGTCAATGGGAAGAAACAAGAAAAGGGCAATGGTTTCATAGGATTCGAAGGAAAGTGGGAGAAATGAGGTATATACCGGGAGGAATAGGAGAGAAGAAATAATAATATCGAGGCTTAGGTTTGGACGCACTGGACTAAATGAAACACTGTTCAAGATAACACAGGGAAATGTGATTTCTGTGGGGAGGACGAGACAGTAGAACATGTTATGATATATTGTCAGAAATATGGAACAGAAAGAAGGCATTTCATTCAAAAATTGGGAGAGATGAAAATACGATTTAATAGATATTTTGCGGAAAGTGTCAAAAGACATGTGTTATAATCTATTGTTTCAATATCTTAGAGAAACTAATATAAGTGGAAGGATATAGGGTTTATTTGATTTATTTACTTATTTTTATTTTTTGAACAATGTAGCTATATATGACTTCCTGGTCCACACTCCATACCAGTTGGTGGCGGTAATGCACCAATAAGTTGTTTGCCAACAGCCAACAAACCCTAGAGAAAGAAGAAGAAGAAGAAGATGATGATGATGATCCTCTTCATGGTTCATTGATTTACCCTAAATCTGCTGTTTATCAGACTGTGAGTACATTGCTTGTTTATTTATTTGGGAAAAATAAATCTGGCAACTTGTAAATGCATTGAGCTCGACCATTCGATTCACGAACTAATGAGTCATAAGAGTCGGTTCATTTCGGTGAATCGAAAACGCTTACAGAATCGTTTCGACTCAGAGATCGAATCCTGAGTTATTACTTTCGTCATGTGCGTCGTGAAACGAATCGTGTTGTACATAGGAAAAACTTAAGAATCGCGTTCCTAACTAGTGATTTACATGACAACGTGTAAAAATTATTGTGTTGAATGATATGCTATTTAATGTGAGTGATTAACGTAAACAAAGAGTGTAACACAACATGAACAACCGAGTTAAATGCTCATGTGTGACAATGATGTGCAAACTCTTCCTTTGTCTTTACTTCTCTCACATTCACAGGTTTAATGGATGTCTGATTACAGCAATCAACCCTCATTAATAATCTTTCAGCTTCACTCTGAACTGCTGAACTGCTCTATTATAAATGATGACACTTTTGAGAAGATAAAGACTAAAATACCATTAAAATAACAGTTATGTACAGCAGATGAACACAACACTTATTGTATGTTTCTTGTTATTTAGTGTCTGGATGCAAGAAAGTGTTTGAACATAAATCTCTGTCTCTCATTCTCCATATATTAACTTTACATTGTATCATTCTTTCATTCATCCGATTTGTAACCATTTAAAGTGCCGTTTCCCGTTTAAAACTGTGATGTTAAACTTAAAGTTTAAATGTTAAACTATATGTTATATTATAAACTTTGTCTAAACTTGTTTCAATTAAAAAGATAAAGATTAAAATACCATAAAGAAATAAGAGATAAACAGTAGGTGAACACAACACTCATTTGATGTTTGTCGTTATGTAGTATCTTGATGCAAGAAAGTGTTGAATATAAATCTCCGTCTCTCATTCTACATTAACTTTACATTGTATCATTCTTTCATACATCCGGTTATATATATATATAAGACTAAAATACCATTAAAATAACAGTTATGTACAGCAGATGAACACAACACTTATTGTATGTTTCTTGTTATTTAGTGTCTGGATGCAAGAAAGTGTTTGAACATAAATCTCTGTCTCTCATTCTCCATATATTAACTTTACATTGTATCATTCTTTCATTCATCCGATTTGTAACCATTTAAAGTGCCGTTGTTATATTATAAACTTTGTCTAAACTTGTTTCAATTAAAAAGATAAAGATTAAAATACCATAAAGAAATAAGAGATAAACAGTAGGTGAACACAACACTCATTTGATGTTTGTCGTTATGTAGTATCTTGATGCAAGAAAGTGTTGAATATAAATCTCCGTCTCTCATTCTACATTAACTTTACATTGTATCATTCTTTCATACATCCGGTTATATATATATATATGTATAATTTTAGTAGTAGTATTTAATTGATTTTTTTTATTTATCTATTTTTCCTTTATCTGTTGTAAAAATTACAATAAATACAATTGCTTCTAAACAACTATTTGATTAAGCCACTTAAAGCTGGATGATTGAGAGTGATTGTAAGTGTTTGAGCATCTGCTAAATGAGCTCCATTGACTCCTTCAGTGAAGCCGCTCCACAGCCGTTCATGAGAGTTTAAATGCTGGAGAATATTCCCATCTTCCCACAGCTGAAGAAGAAGCAAGCAGGAGGAATTACTCCAGGAGAAACTACTGACATACTGTTGGAAAGATGGAGTTTGAGGAAGACCCCTGCAGAATGAGAGATGAAGATACAGAGGAACAAACAGGTTGGTGTTTTCCTTCATTCTCTTTAATGACTGATGAGGAACATTAAGATGAAAACTGACATAAAACAATTAAAATGAGATACTAGTAGACTCAGTATTTTTTGCTAAATTGAGACTCAAGTATATTTAATTTTCTTTCACATAGGCCTGGGCGATAGATATTTTTCGACGGTACACCATAATCGATAACGATAGAAAAAATGTTCGATATATCGCAGGATAGTTTCACGCTTCTTTTCATTTAAAGGCGCGTTATGAGTGACAAGCAGAGAGCCAACAGAACACACAAGCACACGCAATGAGTGTGTGAATGAAATGAGTGTGAATAAAAAAAAAAGGAATAGCCTATTAGTCCAATTGAAAATAAAAATTCGCATTCGAATGAAAAAACGGTATGTTTGAATTTTAGGTGTGCGTCAGAGAGACTTCCCAGTCAACACGTGAGATCATGCGATGATCACAGTGACATCACACGATCCTCATACTGTGAGCCTCACGATGTGAGTAATACATGAGCTCATTATGAACTCAAACGATCCTCATACTGTGATCCTCACAGTGTGAGTAGTATATGAAATCATTGCGAGTTCAAACGATCCTCGTACTCTGATCCTCACGGTGTGAGTAGTATGTTAGCTCATTGTGAGTTTCAAATTTTGAGCAGGTTGAGAGAAGGCAGTTCAAATATTAGTCACCGGGGATACATGGTGACATCATTGTGAGATCAAATTGTTGACTGGGTTGCACGAGATGTGGTGACGATGATGTTGTTGCATTTTAATGTTTTTGTTAGTCTATATCCAGTAGAAACCACTAGATGCGCCGCTGCTGCATTTTCCATTCAAAATATTAGAGAAATTTAGAAGCTCAATGCGGAGAAGATGTTGGTTAGTTTAAAACCGAATCCAAGCCGTTCACACAGAACGCGTATTCGGCGCATTCTTGAGACGCACAACTATGACTGTGGCACTCGCGTCTGGCACAAGAGATGAATAGAAAGCCATGTAAAGTTAAAAGAGGTTCAACTTTTAGAAAACATTTCTCGAGAATTTGTGGGGGTTTTATTCCATTCCACTGCGTCTCATGTGTTTTTAAATGCAGTCGTGTGATCGGCGCTTTGGCTATTTGTATTAAGCTATGCATAAATACATGATGCTGTTTTGTTCATTTTCAATAATCATTGATAACGAACGATATGAAACATTATATTGTGATAATTTTTAAGCTATATCGCCCAGCCCTACTTTCACATTTGTTATTTTTTAATTGAATAACCTATTGATCATTTAATTTGTTGATTTTAGACTCAATGGAAGTGAATAAGGACAAGCAGCATCGGTTTCAAAAACCTTATGGCACAGATGAAGATGGAAAAGCTATCATTTCACAGACTGAAAAAAAACGAGCTGGAAAAACTGGAGTCCATGGAGGTTCTTTTGCCTGCACAGAGTGTGGAAAGAGTTACACACGTAAACCAGAACTTAACAGACACATGAGAGTTCACACTGGAGAGAGGCCTTATACATGCACTCAGTGTGAAAAGAGCTTCATTGATACAAGAAACCTAAATGATCACATGAGAATTCACACTGGAGAAAAACCATTTGCATGCACTCAGTGTGGAAAGAGTTACACACGTAAACCAGAACTTAACAGACACATGAGAGTTCACACTGGAGAGAGGCCTTATACATGCACTCAGTGTGGAAAGAGCTTCATTGATAAAGGACACCTAAATGATCACATGAGAATTCACACTGGAGAAAAACCATTTGCATGCACTCGGTGTGGAAAGAGTTTCATACGTAAATCACAACATACGACACACATGAGAATTCACACTGGAGAGAGGCCTTATACATGCACTCAGTGTGGAAAGAGCTTCAGAGACAGAAGCGTTCTCAAAGAGCATCTGCATTCTCATTCTGGAGTGAGATCATTCAGCTGTGATCAGTGTGATAAAACATATGTTTTGGCATCACACTTAAGAACACACCTTAAAATTCATGCTGCTGTGAAACCTCACGTTTGCTCATTTTGTGAAAAGAGTTTTTCACTACGCTGGAGTGAGATCATTCAGCTGTGATCAGTGTGATAAAACATATGTTTTGGCATCACACTTAAGAACACCTTAAAATTCATGCTGCTGTGAAACCTCACGTTTGCTCATTTTGTGAAAAGAGTTTTTCACTACTAAGAGTTTTAACAGTGCATCAGCGTATTCATACTGGTGTGAGACCTTATATGTGCTTTGACTGTGGGAAGAGCTTTATTACGTATAGCAACATAAAAAAACACCAGAGGATTCACACTGGAGAGAAACCTTACAAGTGCTCACACTGTGAGAAGACTTTTGCTGATTCATCAACCTTGAAAAAACATACTGGTTCATACTGGAGAAACGCTGCACCAGTGCTCTTCATGTGGGAGGGATTTCACTCGCTCATTTACTCTAATAAAACATAAGAAAAAGTGTTGCCCAAAGTTGTCTAAGTGAGCAAAGTCCAGATTCAGATCCATTACTTTCAAGTAAATAATTTGATACTGAATGTACTTTCATTTGCATGAAATCAAGGGCTTTATCAACTGGATGGTAATAAATCATTATTTTAAACACAAACCTTTTGTCTAAAGGTTCAATAAATTGTTACATTAAAAGAAAAAAAAGTATATATCTGACTGTTATTTCATATGTCAAGCTTTACAGGGTTAAAACTATTTTGTGTTGTCTTGACTCTTGACCCTCAGAATAACCTCGATATGAAGTTATGATAATAGTTGGTCAGTGCCACAGATCTTCCTCTAGATGTCGCTGTTTGTTTTCATTTCAACCACGTGGTACATTGATTGACTCTAAAACTGCTGTTTATGGTTTATCAGACTGGGAGTACATTCATTTATTTATTTGGGTGAAATAAATCTGACAACTTATAAATCCACTGAGCTCGAGGAGTATCCTGTTCATGAACTCATGACTTATAAGAGTCGGTTTATTTCAGTGAATCAAAAACGGTTACAGAATTGGACTCGAGATCCGACCTGAAATGAAACCAATGTTGCAAGTAGGAAAAACTTGAGAAGCGCGTTACTAACTAGTTATTTACATGACAAAGTGTAAAGATTGTGTAGAAAGATAGGCTATTTAATGTGATTAATTAATGTAAACAAAGAGTGAAACACAATATGAACAACTGAATAGGCTAGTTAAATGCTTAAATGCTCATATTTATGATCTGCAAACTGTTCCTTTGTCTTTATTTCTCACACATTCACAGGTTTAATGGATGTCTGATTACAGCAATCAACCCTCATTAATAATCTTTCAGCTTCACTCTGAACTGCTGTGAGAATTGAAGAACTGATAGTGTAACAGTGCTGGAAATCTAGACCTCATTTCTGATTATAAATGATGACACTTTTGAGAAGATAACGATTAAAATAACAGTTAGGTAGTAGATGAACACAACATTCCTTTGATGTTCTTCATTATTCAGTGTCTGGATGCAAGAAAGTGTTTGAACATAAATCTCTGTCTCTCATTCTGCATATATTAACTTTACATTGTATCATTCTTTCATTCATCCGATTAGTGCATAATGCTACTATATTAAACTTTGTATTAAAAACTATGTCCAAACTAGTTTTGATTAAACATTGAAATTCTACCTATTGCAATACAATATAGTCACAATCTATTCTATTTTCTGTTCTAACAGATTATTAGCAGATGGTGGTGATAAGAAGTGAATGTAAGTGAGTGTTTGTAGGCTATGTTTGTGGATTTACATATATTTTTACTAGTAGTGTTTTTTATCTATGTTGTAAAAAGTCAAATAAATCCATGTAATTGTTTCTAAATGACTATTTGAGCGAAACACTTAAAGCTGGATGATTGAGAGTGTTTGAGCATCTGCTAAATGAGCTCCATTGACTCCTTCAGTGAAGCCGCTCCACAGCCGTTCATGAGAGTTTAAATGCTGGAGAATATTCCCATCTTCCCACAGCTGAAGAAGAAGCAAGCAGGAGGAATTACTCCAGGAGAAACTACTGACATACTGTTGGAAAGATGGAGTTTGAGGAAGACCCCTGCAGAATGAGAGATGAAGATACAGAGGAACAAACAGGTTGGTGTTTTCCTTCATTCTCTTTAATGACTGATGAGGAACTGACAAAAATTTGTAAAAAATATTTTTTTTCCCTAAATTGTGACCATATTGAGTTGTGATTATATATTTTGTGCTTTCATTTGTCCTTCTTTATTTAAATAATGAGAATGTTATATGTTGATTTTAGACCCAATGGAAGTGCATGAAGACAAACAACATCAGTCAGTGTGATAAAACATTTGTTGTGGCATCGACATTAAGAGACCACCTTAAAATTCATGCTGGTTTGAAGCCTCATGCTTGTTCTTATTGTGAAAAGAGTTTTACACGTCTGTACACTTTAAAAGTCCACCAGAGTATTCATACTGGTGTGAAACCTCATGTGTGCTTTAACTGTGGGAAAAGCTTTGCTACAACCAGCGACTTAAAAAAACACCAGAGGATTCACACTGGAGAGAAACCGTACAAGTGCTCACACTGTGAAAGGAGTTTCACTGATTCATCAACCTTGAGAAAACATGAGAGAGTTCATGCTGGAGAAAAGCCGTACCAGTGCTCTTCATGTGGGAAGAGTTTTGTCTCATCATCTAGTCTACAGGCTCATATAAAAAAGCATTGCCCGAAGTCGTCTAAGTGAGCAAAGTTCACATTCAGATGCATGACTTACAAGTAATTTGACATTCAGATTAAGAAAAAGATGGAATTTGTTTGAATATAGTAATTTAATCTAATAGGGTGATTTGCTAATATTAGTAGTGAAGTTTGAATCTGGTGGCAGTTTGGTCAAGCATTGTCCTTCTCTTTTCAGAACCACAGTAACATGATTTACATGATTCAGCTTTACTGGACATCAAACATTTGTTTTACATTAAACAATTTCTAAAGTTTTTCAGTTGAACAGTGATGAGATTGTTTTTTTTTTGTTTTGTTTTTTCTTAATGTCTACTCCGGGTTCATCTTTAAGTCATTATTGCAAAATGTTTGTGTTCTTCACCTCTGTCATTGAATCTTTCATCAGCATCCACCACAGACCTTATTTCAAAAACCCATCATATTTGGGAAAAAATGCATGTATTTTTAGAAAAAATATGTTTCTCTTGTTCAAATGTAATTAAACAAATCCACACAACGACAAAGTGAAGACAGATGTCTACTATTGGATGCAATGCACACCTCACAGAGGTTTTTTATTTTATAAAAACTATATACAAGTTATATACAAATATAAAAATAAAAGAAGGTTAGCAGCGTACGGTTGCAGCGATATTACAGTGAACAGTCAAAAATGTTTTCTGGTGAAATGTTTTCTGAGACTTTCAGATCAAACACCATGACAGAAAAGCAAAATGCTTTAAAACACTGCAGATAATCTACAGAGATTAACACTTACGTCTGACTGCATTTTGAGTAAATGACAACCTACAGTGTTTTACATGTATTTACTGTAAAATATGCTGCTGTCATTCACTTAAAACAAACACACAAGACTTTATATCATTTACTCCATCATTTACTCATCCTCAAGTTGTTCCAAACCTGTATTGAACACAAAAGAAGATATTCTGAAGAATGTTGATAGCCAAACAGTTGCTGGTAGACTTCCATATATATATATATATTTTTAGACTGTTTGGTTACCAACATTCCTCAAAATATCTCCTTTTGTGTTCAGGAGAAGAAGAAAAAACTCATACAGGAACAACATGAGGGTGAGTAAATGATGACAGAACTTAAATTTTTGGGTAAACTTTTTTCTTTAAGCATCCTCTTGTGCTACACGAGTGTGTCCAGCAGAGAGAGAGATACTGTGACTTTACTGACTGATGGATGACAGAAGAAGATGAAGATGAAGGAGCTGAAGAGCTCAAAACAAGCTGGATGTACTGAAGTGACCTAAAGAGAAGAAGAGAGCAATTATGAATCACTAAAACTAGATTTGTCAAAACGAACGTTATGTTTCTTCGCGGTTGCTAGATTGTTCTGGGTGGTTGCTAGGTTGTTTCCAATGCTAAAAAACCTTTCCTTCTTATTTCAGTTCCACACATCAGTTGTTTTTCCTTCACGAGACTATCTATCAGTCTCTCACCTCATCTGTGACTGTCTCTAATTCACCAGAATGAAACTCTTCAGGTCCGTCTGCATCCAGACACACTGGAATAAATAAAAGATCAATTATAATCTTTAATTGGGGAGAGTTGTCACACATTTTAAATGCTAAAAATATCATTCTTACATCAAAACAATGATATGCATGTGTGTGCTACCTTGTGCTAAAAAGCCCATAATAAAATAGTGTGTAATGTCAGGTTTCATTGTGACAGCTTACCTCATACAAACACCAAGGTGTTAAATGAACAGGAAATCTAAATGTAAGTTGGGAGGAGCTTATTCTTACTCACAGTAGATAGAAACTATCAGCTGCTTATCTTCCACCTCCACAAACCCCACCTTATTAATCAGAGGTATATATTAACTAACTCTTAAAGGCTTTTAGGTTTGTTTAAAAAAAAAGTACCTCTTGAGGAATATTTACTGAAATAAAAACTGTGACAACTAGCCCCGGCATTCATTTTCTGTAGCTAATAATAATGCAAACTTATAAAGAACAGAACTGCAGACAAACTACTCACTGTTTGGTTTTTGCTGCATGCTGTGTCTGCGAATATGCTTCGGTAGGCTTTTCTCTCGTGATTCTTTGGACACTCTGCTGTTCATATCTCATTTAATGCCTTTTCTCTTCTCTGATACTCCAGATGTGATCTGTCACATATCACCTTGCCTTCACGATGTCCTCTAGAAGTCAAATGCAATGATTGTCATGGGATTTTACTTTAACATCAACGATTTTCATTTAAAGCAGCACTATGTAACTTTTTCTGTGTTCAAAATGTGCAAAATGTATGTAATGAGCGAGTACATCATGAATTCATCTTTGAATGTTAATTTGGAATATTCTGTGAACCTTCTGAAAAATACTTTTTTCAGTGTATACATTACTTCACTTTCCACTACTTAATTAATTTGGTTATTTTTAATTTAATTTATTTTATCTTTAACTATGCATAATTATTTGGCTAGTTATCCAGCTATCGCTGGCAGCCATATCACCCTGTAACCCAAGACTGGTTACCCACTGAAGCTAAGCAGGGCTGAGCCTGGTCAGTACCTGGATGGGAGACCTCCTGGGAAAACTAGGTTGCTGCTGGAAGAGGTGTTAGTGAGGTCAGCAGGGGGTGCTCACCCTGTGGTCTGTGTGGGTCCTAACGCCCCAGTATAGTGACGGGGACACTATACTGTCAACAAGCACCGTCCTTTGGATGAGATGTTAAACTGAGGTCCTGACTCTCTGTGGTCATTAAAAATCCCAGGATGTCTTTTGAAAAGAGTAGAGGTGTGACCTCGGCATCCTGGCCAAATTTGCCCATTGGCCTCTGACCATCATGGCATCCTAACCATCCCCATATCTGCTGATTGGCTTCATCACTCTGTCTCCTCTCCACCGATAAGCTGGTGTGTGGTGGGTGTTCTGGCGCACTATGGCTGCCGTCGCATCATCCAGGTGGATGCTGCACACTGGTGGTGGATGAGGAGATACCCCCTGACAATGTAAAGCGCTTTGAGTGCCTAGAAAAGCGCTATATAAATGTAATGAATTATTATTACTATTATTATTAGTTGCATTTGATTATTTGCATTCAGCATTATTTTCCCCTGCTGTTCACATCAGATCAGACAAGTGACCCAACCATTGAGAGTTGCAGGGGGTTTTTAACTGTAGAATGTGCATGGAAGTTTGCTTCATCATTTTCCGACAGTGTACAATCAAAACATTCGTGCAATGCACAATGATTGACAAATCATGACGTAAATGTGGTTATCTGGATCACGTGCTTCAGGGAGGGTGCGGTTCAAATGCTGTAGGCCTACTGTTCAAGATTAGATTTATTAATATTGTGAAAAATACCAAGTCAAAACTCTGATCTGGGAATGATATAGTGAGCAAACATGATTGAAATGCTTGAGCTTCCTTGGCACCTTCTGCAGTAAAACAAAAGTGCTTTTATTAAGACTTAGAAATTCAATTTGTAGTTTATTTACATTTTCATGTATTATTGTCAGTCGCATTAAATTGTTTTTGTGAGTGTTTTTGATGGCAATTCAGTGTCACAAAACACCAGGAGCATGTCTCAATTTGTCTCAATTGTTTTTTCTTAATTCATGTTCCTGCTCTAGTTATAAAGATGATTTATCAGTGCATATTATTCAAAAGGAAAAAAATGTAGGCTATATAATGTTTATGTTTATGTCATATATACGTAACATAGAGAATGTGTTCCTTCGTATTCCATTTTATTTAGTTGTATTTTATTATTTATTTTAAAGGCAGTGTTCAATAGACTGAAAAAAAATAGTTGAAATAATTTTCACTCAGAAATTGCTACATTTAACAATTAAAGACAAAGAAAGAAACGGCAAGTAATTAAATGTATTAAATGTGCAATTCTGAAGTACAAAGAATGAAATACGGTAGTATTTCTTGCAAAATGTACTCCAATCTTTGTTTTAACTTTGAAAACTGTTTAATACAGTGTATGTTAATGCACTTATTGCTTCACTTATTTAGTTGCACCAGTAAACTGACAACAAAGCAGCTGTATTTATCACTGATCACTTTAGATATTCTATAACTTTCTATGTTACAAGTCAAGATAGAGAAGGTCATATTTCTTGGCTGAAGTGAAATATTTATTGTGGAATGCAAAGCAACAGACACTTGGACACATTTGGGTAGTCATCATAATGACTGAAAACAAACACCTGTTCAGGAATAAGGACAGTGTAATGTACACTTGAACACTTTCATAACCTTTCACAAAGTGAACAGAATCAAAATAATACACTTAATCCCCCGTGATCATTTGCTTCATGCATTTCAAAAACAGAGATCATTGTGCACCTGACCGAGACTAGATGCTTCAGATAAAAATACCTTCTAAACAGAAAGTACGAGTATGATAATTACATGTTTTAAAGAATAATAATCATCTTCTGCATGCCAGAATAAAGTGCCTGAAGTCACAGGAGTTCAAATCTAGACAATTTGTCCACAAACCAAATCATAAAGCTTTAGGAAATCTCCAGTCTCACTGTATGATCACATGGAAAAGAGCGACCTGGCATTTCTGGAACAACTATTTCTTTACAGTCATTGTTCTCAATGCTCTTTATACTAGAAATGAGAACTATGTACAGCTACAGTTCAAAAACATTTGATTTCAGTGCTACTGCTTTAACATTGTCTGATCATATTACTTTCATATGACACATATATAAGACTGTGTGCACAATATTAAAGTGCTTGATCTGTGCAGATTTCTCTCCTGGTTCAAACAAAATGACCTTTTCACTAGAGGAAGTGTTATTATCATTTTGGCCTGAAGCAAAAATGTGAAGTTAAAATCCCTTAATGATGGAATTGTTTCTTCCAAACATGCAGCTTTTGACTTCTCAAGATGTTAACTGATGGACTGGAGTGGTGTGGATTACTTGTGGATTTTTGGTTTCGTCTCTCAGTGCCGCTTCCTTTCTCCGCTTTTCTCTTTTTTCAGCTGTATTTTGTTCTCTCAATGGCATCTGTTTTAGTTTTCCTGTCATCCTACTGGCATGAATAATCACAGAAAACACCAAAATATGAAAATGCATCACTGTTAAAGAGAAATCATGTAATTCTGACTGAACAAATATTAGTATAACAGAGTAATCATATAAAGAGTGCAGGACAAAAGTTTGGAAATCTGAGATTGTCATTCACCTGGAAAATATACTGGATGTTGAAAAACTAAGAAATTGCATTCAATGATGATTTAACATTCATTATTACAATATTTAACATTCTTCTCTATTTATAGGTTAGATAGAATGAATGAAGTGTACACAAATGAATGATTACTGATTACGTGAACTCCTAAACAGTGTAGCATTTGCATTGAAGAATGCAAGATGACCTTTGAAACATTTTCAAATCAAAGCTAAAGAGTGATATATTAAGACACTCTCAAATTAATGTACATATTTCTACTTTCTCAGAACTCAAATTCTGCAATAGAAATGTTTAAAATCAGAACTATGCAAAATCCTAATCTAAATGCAATCTAGAAATGCTAAACATTCCATATGACACTCACCTACATCCAGATCTGGAAATATTTATTCCTTTTTTCAGATTTTGTTTCATTTAAATCCTTGAAGCAGGCAGCTACTGAAACGTCAAACCTCCAGTAATCACAGCAAAGAACAGCAGAATCGACCAGGAAATGACTATATGTAAATATGTCTATCAGCTTCTGTGACGCATGAAGCGACTGGAGAAAGTGCCTGAACTGGTTTAGCCTCTTTTCTTTCTTTCAAAATCGATCTTGTCTTTGTTATTTTCATTACAATAACTGATTATACAAATCTCTGACGATGAGATCTCATTACAGTGTTTGGCCATAGCAAGAATAAAGACATTTAATACCATATTAGGTCACACAATGAGACCACTGCTGATTTAGCTTACACAAATATAACTAGAGCACATCAAAACCTGTTTTCAAAGTATTTGCATTCAGTTTGTTCCATTACAGAAAGCTTTACTGTTATACTGCATGTGTGTCTCGTCTCTACTGAATAATCCAGATCTCAGGGCCGCTCAGTGGGGAATTCAATGTCATTGTCAACAGATCTTGATGGCTGGAATCCAACAACATAACAAACCACAAACCTGCATTTAAATGAGCAAAATCAAAAATAAAACAAACAAACAAACAAACAAAAACTTTCATATGCTAAAACTAACTCAGCAGCATCAGTGAGGTCCATATGCAAAATTTATTTTGAATTTCAAACCCATAATAACAAGTCCTGAGGCATGAGCCAAATGAAGTCTAGGAAACAAAAAGTACAAATAATATGATTCAAAGCAGTCATCCATGAACTACAATATGTGACCCAGGACCACAAAACCAGTAATAAGGGTCCATTTAAAAAAAAAATGGATTTATACATCATCTGAAAGCTTTCCATTGATGTATGGTTTGTTATGATCGGACAATATTTGGCCGAGATACAACTATTTGAAAATCTGGAATCTGAGGGAGCAAAAAAATCTAAATATTGAGAAAATTGCCTTTAAAGTTGTCCAAATGAAGTTCTTAGCAATGCATATTACTAATGAAAAATTACGTTTTGATATATTTACAGTAGGAAATTTACAAAATATCTTCATGCAACATGATCTTTACTTAATATCCTAAATATTGTTGGCATAAAAGAAAAATCGATAATTTGACCCATACAATGTATTTTTGGCTATTGCTACAAATATACCCCAGCGACTTAAGACTGCTTTTGTGCTCCAGGGTCACATATAAGCATCTCAGAACTGAAATGTACAATTTACAAGACCACACAAGTGACTAATGACCACAAATGGGATTTAGTAGCTTGCTGAATACAGTAAAATGTAAAGTGGCGACCTCATGTGGTGAACTTGAGAACTGACAAAAGTGGCATTTTTATTTCATTATTTTAATTATTACATAACTATATATATATATGTATGTATTAGAATATACAGAATATACAGGTTTAAACAATTCGAACTAAAATTTTTAAGCTTTTAAAAATACTAATTTACTGAAAAACAAATATACTCCACCCCCAACAGTCTCTCAAAACAACAGATTACGCATTAAGCTTTTAAAAATACTAATTTACTGAAAAACATATATACTCCACCCCCAACAGTCTCTCAAAACAACAGATTACGCACGCCGAGCTCGCTGTTTTTAAGCGCACGTACAGGCCCCGCCCATCACTGCTGTGGGCGCCTCACATCAAAGGCTCTGTTTCGTGATGTGGGCGGGAGTTTGTGTGACACGGACCAATCAGAAGCCTCTTCGCCTCAGCGGCTCCAGAGCGCCGCGCCCCAGAGACGCTACCGACAGAAACAAACGGTTGCAGAAAGAAACAGTGGACAAAATCCCTCTAACGGAGAAAAACCTCAAGCTAACCGACTGTCCCCGAGTCGCTGTCCACTCCAACCGCACATCTAGACCCACATAAGCGTAAGTTTCTGTTTCTAATTCCCGTTCTCTCTGGATTATTCTCCTCAGGGTTTTAGTAGCGCGGCCTCAACGCTAGTTACGCTAGTGGAGTTAGCGTTCGCTTTCTGCAGGACAAACGCGTTTGTCGTGTATATTTTGACACTTCTTGTGATTTGGAGGTCATTTGGCCGTTTTCTGGCACGATTGTGGCCCTCGGTAACGATTATTAGGTGTAACGTTAGAGTGGGCCACTGCAACTCTGCACGCGCACAAATGAAAATAAAAGTCTTTTAATTTGCCACTAATAAAGTTGGACATATTTTGTAATCTGCAAAATTTGGTGATCTTTGTTGCATTTGTGTGATTTTATGGAGAATGTCGACAACGTAGTTTATCTTCAGGTTATTTGCGTGTGTTTTTAAAGTGGTATTTGTTATGCCATCTACAATATAGTAATGATAGCCTAGATTTTATCAATGATAGGCTCATGTTGTTTCTTAGTTGCACGAAGTGAGATTTATATACATTTTACTATATATATGTGTATGTAAATCATTTATTTTATTTTGTTATTTTAATTCTTTTTAATGCTAAGCAAAAATTATTTATTTTATGTTTTTGCACTGTTTTTCTTTCAACTTTTACCCCCTTCCTTGCGACCGTTTAAAAACCCTTGCTTTATTTCATGCCAGTAAGTTAGTTTTTCTTTTGTGTCAGGAATATGCACACTATCCACTTAGAATAGACACTAAATGGCCATTCATGCTTGGCCGATATATCGGTTTATCTCTATTATCATTAGGCCTGTTGTGTTGTGGGATGTCTGTGTTTTTGCTCTTATCACAGATTGGGCTCATGTGTGTGTCACTGGTGTCTTGACAGTCTGTCAGTCAGAGAAAGAGAAAGACTGAAGCGTCTGTCTGCTGGTTTTACCATACGGCCATTACAGATCTATGGCAAATGGGTGTGAAACTCACTTCTGTTTGATTATCTATTTTTTCCTCACTGGTTATCATCTGTAGGGTTGCAGGGGGTTTCTAGCCGCTTGTTGCTTTAAAACAACCGTGGCAACGTCAATATGACAGAAAAAGCCAATAATTAATAACTTGATAATCAATTCTTTTGGCAAGTAATAGTTCTGTAATATCTTTACAGTTGTCAGAAGTTGTTGCAGCTTACGCATGTTAATGAATTTTGGACATATTAAAATTATTTAAACGTTGCTCATTAATTAGGAGTCGAAATGATCAGTTTTATCAACTACTTTTTTCAGTTTCAGAGGTTTTTCACTAACAGTATGATGGTGAAACCCCTGGATTGAGTGTAATTCTCTCTCTCTCTCCGTCCCACGCCCACGACCCTCTAGAGGGACGAAAATGTGTTTCTCATTTTCATCTCTCTTCCCCTCTTCCTCTCTCCTCCCTTTCTGTCGCTCAGATTTTCATACATGCAGTGCTGTTGCTTTAAACAGGAAATATTTTGTGTGGCGTGAGCAGCTGTTTGCAACACAGTCTTGCGTGTGTTCTTAGCACAGTATAAATTGTCTGAAACACAGTTCCGTTTCAATGCTTGAACTTCCATACGCAGCATTTTGAAGCATCGTTGGCAAGATCCAGGCACAAAAGCTATTAGAAATGTGATTATGCAGTGCTTTAAAATTCCTTAGTTTTGCCAAATTTAAAGGCAGAATTGCACGTGCATTTGGAAAAATAAATTTTTGAAAGCTTAAATGAAAGAAAAACTGAACTAGCATTAGTAATCGTGGTAATCTTTTATTTACAACTTCAAAAAAAAAAATTTGGCAGAGAACTTTTTTTGGCAGAGAAAGAAGAAATAAATGTTAAACATACAAAAAAAAAATGCATATTTGTATTTTTCCAATAATAATAGTGTTCTGTGAGAAATTTGCGGTCAAATAAAATTATTATTCATATTTTGTTTTAATACTAATAGTTTAATACTTACTAATTTATTATAATTTATAAATATGAATTAAAAAATTTTTTTGCAGAGAAATCCTGTAATGCTTTGTGGCAAAACTCAGTAAAATCCATTCATGGTGGTTGCAGAAAGAGAAATGTTGATTATAAATATACTTAAAATTCATTAATTACCAAAAAAGCAGTATTTATTGTGGCATAAATAAAAGCATAATTTATTATCCTGTCGACAGCAATATGCAGAGCGTTTCAAATCAGTCATTTTTTTTTTTTTGAAGGGTGCTGACTATAGTTAGTAGACTGCAAGGCAGCTCACTACGTACTGGAACACAGCCCATATGTTTAGAATTCATAATATATGAGCCGTATATGGGGGGAAATAACATAGAAGGAATGAGATTTTCAGTGTGTTGTATTTCTAAATAGATTTGGGATTTGTCGAATATGCTATCAGACCTTTAGATTTGTTATTTTAGCAGGCCAGAAGTGCAATGTTAAATATTTGCCCAGTGTAAGGAGGGCCCATCTCTCTGCATTTGGTGAATGTGAGTTATGTGGTTAATGTGGAGTATTCAGATCTGCTGGCCCATGGCCACATTTAGACCCGCAGTGTGCCAGGAATAATGCAGACTGACAGTGACATGACATTCCTCAGATACACACCATTTAAGATGTTACACAGCTGCTGTGTGCTGTGGCCACAGTTTTCATTTGACCAAACTTTATTAATGTTCAGATAGAAACATTTAAGAGCAAGAATGAGTAAATTATGAAATTTTGATTTGTCAGTCAGTACATTTTGCAGTCATTCTGCAATATTCACGTCTTTACAGAAAATTATATTATATTATATTGTATGTTTTTATATATTATGTAAAAAAATATGTTATATCTTTATTAAATATGTCAGTAGTTATTAATTTTTAAATTTCAGTTTTAGTTATTTTAAGTTAAACTAAATGAAAATGTGAAATGTTGCCTTGGCTGTTTTTTTTATTTTTTAATTTTTTTTAATGAATTTAATAATTTTCCCAGTTATCGATAATGTTCAATAATATAATAAAGTCAGTAATTATAAAAAAATTTTAAAAGTTTATTTAGCATGTAAAAATCATAATGTTATAGAACGTTTTAATTTTTAATTTATTTATTCATTTTAATATACTTTTCTTATATTTTGTGTTGCTGAATTTCCACCTTGGGGGATAAATAAAGTTGATCTAATCTAATAGCACATTTCCCCCTGTCTAGATCCAGTCTAAAGAGTTTGGGCTGGTGAATATAAATTATTATTCTTATTGTAGAGCATGAAGTTTGTATTATATACATTTTTTGATTGTTTGTTTGTAGACTGGAAGTCTTCGCAGTTTTAATCTTTGAATTTTAAAACATAACATCACTTTCCAAGCATTTCGCTTATGATCACACCCCCATAAACATTCAGCCAGCAACTCAATCCCACACACACACACACACACACACACGAGTGCTGCTCCACACCCTCCCTCACATCTGTGTGGTGTTACGGCTGAGATAATTCACACACTTCTCTTCCGGAAAGTAGGTCAATGACGAAGTTCCTCATGAGTTGGTTATAAGACGCAAATTCATGCAGTTGAACCCCTGGGCAGTTTACATAAAGATCACTTTTACAAGACACAGAAGGTCTACCAGACCCTAGAATTAATCTTTTGAGTGACGTTTGATTTGAATTTTTATGTTGTCTTTTAGTATCATTGATACTATTATAGCTTTATCAATATTTTGAATTAGTTTTTATTCTTCGTTTGGGATTATAATAATTTCAGTGAAATTTTGTAAGGTTTTTATACTTGTTTTATAAATAATGGATACATTTTTAGTGCTTATCAACAAAACCATACAAGTACATGTTCAGTTTTTATCTTATGCAGGCCTCCACACTGTAAAAAGTAATGAGTTGAACTTACTTGGAAAACCTGTGGAAACTGATTGCCTCAAATTTCTCAAGCAAATTAGTTTATAATTTTTGAGTTAATAAAACTTACTGTAACTTTGTATAGGTAACTTGTGTATATGTATAGGTTACCAGAAAAACTGTTATTTGACAGCTTGAAGAAAAAAAGATTCAGAAACCTATCTGTAAACAAAAAACAAAAAAAAAACTTTAACCATTTCAAATTGTATTCACTCTAAAACTGTATTCATTGACAATGACAATGGAAACAATGGAAACATACCTTTAATCCAACAAACTAGATGCTCTTAAGTACTGTTTACTAAAGTTGTTTAGTTTAACTATTGCATCCACCTGAAAGTTCACATAACACAGTGTAATTAAGTAAATTCAACAAATTTGTAAAAATCAGTTATGTTTACTCGCTTTTCTTAAGTAGATTCAATGATTACTTTTTACAGTGCATTTGATTTTTAATATCCAAAGAAACTCTTAAGATGTGAATCAGACAGGCACTAAATCATAATTGATTTAACCTGCCGACTTAAACATTGCTGCAATTAAGAGATTTTCCTCTGAGATTGTGTAATCTCAAGCTTTCTATCTTTTCTGTCTTTCTCTCTATATGAAAGACACATACTTCCTCCAGCTCTGCAGGTGTTCCAGTCTTATATGCATTTATAAGCTGATCACTGGGTTCGTTTGGCTGCTTTCAGTCATGACAGACTCTCTCTGATTGCCTGCTGTCCGGTTTAACGGCTGCCAGCGAGTTCTGGAAAGGGTTTTGGCCCGGACTGATGGGCTTTGGCCTTCATCTGAGCCTGCTGGTGGGCTGAAATGGATTTGACTGCCATTCAGAAACTGTCAAGAAGCCATTATTGATGCAGGAAATTCATGCAGCGAGATCTGGCTGGTTTACAAAGGCTTTACAGGACTTTTGAGTAAACAACAGCATGCTCAGTTTCTCATTCTCTCAATGGAATTTGTAGGAATTTTAAGGAAAATACACATTTGTTTAAACGTTTAGCTTGTTGTAATTGATATTGTTGAGCATTTGCATGCTTGATAATGAAACTTTCCAGATGTTTCTCTCAGCGAGACGGTCATATAGTGATCTTTAAACGTGGCTAGAGGGAAAACTAAAG